GGATTCTACCTTCTCTTTTACAAGTTACTGACCTTTCGATGAAAGCTAATAAGCTACACTCTCAACTGTATGAAATTCATCTATAGCATCTGTTGATTTTATGGCAAAGAGAACCTCAGAAACAATTATAGGGCTAATTGGCTCCCTGAGTCATTGGAGTGAGCTTCTCTTTCTGGAGCCTTCCTCTTCCCATAAACATCACTTGGCAACCTGGCAAAAAGACAGTAGATGTACAACCAACAGAATAAGATAAGTGGCGGAACTAGGATTCTTAGCATTGAGGGGCCAAAATTTCAAAATCACTTCCACATAGATTTTTCATCTTCAACTGGGAGGGCCATCACTAATCTAATTACAGTAATTGTATTGCTATAACATATATTTTATAATATATTACAATAGATTAAAAATTAAATGGTGGGGCCAGGGCCATGGCAGGCCTGGCTATGGCTCCGCCACTTAGATAACAATGTTAATTTTCACTTGAGAAACTTGTTTTGCGTCAACTGTAAAACAAGAAATCATAGGTGCAAATAAATTTAAAGTTTCCTTAACAGGGCCAGGGTATATTTTGGCCGGCCCATCCTAACCACAATCCATCCCCAAAATTTAATTGAGGCCTTTTAGTCTAGATTGTACAGTTGGGCATCTTTATTTACTTATATTTTTTATTTATATAAAACCTTGATGATGCGAAGAAATTTGTTGAAATAGATAAAGGATACATGAAAAAAGAGGAACAAAAGGACAAAACCCCTCTAAGAGAAGCTAAATAAGATCATAGCAAAATAAAAGGCTACAAAATCAAGTTAACCTATAGCTAGGGAGCCCTGTAAGGTCCTGTGAAAAGGCAGTAGTTGCAAAAGAAGGAACAGAATCCCTCCTGTGGGAGCCAGATTAGTCCCCCTTGTAATCAGCCAAACAATATGACTGTTTATCATAGATGAGTTCTACTCTTTGAAAGAATATCAAGCACATCTAAAAGATACTATAGTTTGACCATATTGAAATTAACATTTGCGTTGTTTACATTAGTTTTCTAGTAGTAATCAATTTTACTCTCAGTATGGATAAGTACTATATACTTATTTCACCAGTAATAAAATTTTAACACTTTACTTTGCTTCCTTCTACCTCTCCCTAAAATTTTTCATGCTCTGCCACCGCTGAGCAATGGGCTAAGCAACTCGGAAATATTATCTAAATCTGTTAATTAGCCTAGGATGCACAAGAAACAATAAGCAACAACAGTTTTGCAGTTTATTTGAAGGTTATTTTGTTAATAAGGACAGAATAGTACTCTAAATGCAGGGTGATGTCAGAATCTCCATTCTCAAATGCAAAATTGCTGACCAAATCTGGGCTTGTGACACCATGGTTTACAAAGGATTTCTCTTTTTCCACCGGATAATATTCCAGATAGGATGGGACTGCGCGGTCAGTTTGTGGAAATAAACATCGAAGCTCCGCAACCTACAATATAAGTATGGGCCATAACAGATACTTTACATAATATACAAATCACTTACAGAGAAGTAAATGTCAGAAACTGATCAAATTTTCATTAGGAAGAAGAATGTTGTTTACCTGTCTGCGCAACGTTTCATTCTCAAGTATAGCACGCTGTTCTTGGAGGAAACAAATAGCTGAAAATTAAATACCGGGTAAAATTGTCCGTTTTGTTGATAATAAATAAATAAACTTAGTCTTTTCTATATATACATACCAGCATAGATGAAAGGTCATTGTGCAACTTATACCCTAAAGCGAAGCTTTTAAAAACCAGAACATAAGTATATAAGGAAAAACTTTACATTATAGATTAGTCACTTTCTTCCTTTTCCTGTTACTTTCCATTGTCATATCCCTTCCTCTTTTTATTTTTTCTTTTCTTTTGCTCTAAATCATTGTGATTATCCATACTTCAAAGTAAAAGTAGCTTAATCGAAACAAAATAGTATCTTTAGTAAACTTCAAGAAAAACTGCAGCTTTCATATGTTTGGAGAAATGAATTTTCTTCTTTAGTTCTGTGGAAACTGATACTTCAGCATAAACTATGCAGTGCTACTACTACAGCTTTAATCTTAAAAAAAAACTAAAAAATTGGGTTGTGCTTCCACGTACCTGTACTCTTGATTGCTCTAGTTGCTCTACTAGTAATTGCTCTTGAAATAGTAGAATATATATTCAAGCCTTTCAGATTGCAGGAATTAGTACATGTTACAATCTGCAACATAATCTGACATCTCTACTGAATAACTGAAAGGAAAAAAAATGAAAAAGGAAAATATAATAGAACCTTCCTCTCCTTCACTGACAATAATCCTTCATTTAATTGCTGTTCTAGTTGCTGCAATTCTTTCAAGCTCAAACCAGTCAAGTCCTTACCCAATAGCCTTCTACACAATCAGAAAAAATATTATTATTACGTGTAAGGATCTCACAGTATTCCAAAAATGTAAGAATTGAGTAAATCCATATTGATAATGTCAGAAGTTTTTGCTTAAGCCTCATCAAACTAGAAGTTTTTTAATTTGAATTTATGAATTAAGAACTAAAAGCTCATAATATGCAGAAAATGACATACATTCTCCAGAATCGACTTTGAGATCTCTTTCTGCTCCAGCAATTTATCGTCCAAATTCTGGACTCTCTGTGTCAGGTGCTTCTTTGTGTTCTGTCCAGCATAAGAATGTTTAATACAGTCATTTCAATTGTTAAAATCTCATCAAACAATATAGGTAGTTGGGACTTACCCAGACAAAGGTGAACGAAGCCCAAATGTTTAGATACACCATGCAAGACGAAGCCAGAATTGCTGGAAACCATCTATTA